TCTTCTAGAATGTACCTGCGCCAGGCCGAACAGTTGGACAAGATGGGTAAACTGAAGGACGCTGAGCGCCTCTATCTGACAGTGAAGAGGACGGACCGTGCAATTTCAATGTATAAGAACCACAGGCAGTACCGTGACATTATAAGACTCGTTCGTGTACACAATCCGGACATCCTTGAGCAGACTTACTTTAGGCTGGCACAAGAATTGGAGCTTGAGGGCAATCTGCGACAGGCAGAGCAGTACTACATGGAGGTATGCAACCCCATTTTTGTTTTACATCTAAACACTTTCTATTGATTACATTTAAGTAACCTTTATTTTCCATATGTTTTATACATATGGTTTAACTGTCAGCATAGGTCTGTCAAACTTCAATTCTCATTAACTTTAATGCACTTGTTTTATCACACGTTTTTTCGAAGGCAGGAGAATGGAAGTCCGCTATAAACATGTACCGAACGCGTGATCAATGGGAAGAGGCCTTCCGGGTTGCTGGTGACTGTAAAGAGCAACCAGAGTTGCGTAAGCAAGTGGCCTTTCTTTGGGCCAAACACTTGGGCAGTGACTCTGCCGTTCGTCTGCTCAATCGTCTGGGTCTTCTGGACACAGCTATTGAGTACGCCACGGAGCACTGCATCTTTGACTTCGCTTTCGAATTGGTTCGTGGTTGCGCTCCTGAAAAGATTGCCGATGTGCACAATAAATACGCCATGTTCTTGGAGGATGAGGGCAAGTTTGCCGAAGCCGAGGAGGAATTCATAAAGGTGGGTTTCTCATATACCTTAGTACTTTACATTTTCATTCTAAATTTCTTCGAATTAATAGGTTTTAACGGTAGATTTGAGAAGAAAACGCCGGCACTGCACGCGTAAAAACTGATTTCTATCAAAGATTTTTGCGGTGCAGTGATCCTATTGGCTTGGGTTATTTACTACTTGGAAGTAATTTGTTGTTCGATTTTCATTGACGAACGAAGTCAGCAAAGGGTGGGGACACAGTAAGGAGAGAAGAATGGCCATAAAGGAGAAAATTGGACGTTTTCATATCGCCTCTGCTTGCTACATTATGACTTTCTCCAATCACACTTTCAAGGCGCAAGCCCTTCTTCTTCGAAAGCAGAATGAATGTGGCGCCCTGAGCGTGTCACGTGAGCTAAGGCAACTGGACTTTAAAGAGCATAATATGGTGTAATATGAAGAAGAAATGGTTGTTGACTGTCGGCCACAGGAGCGATTCGTCAGGACATCCTGCAAGGTTATGCTGGCAGTCGGTTAGACTGACTCCTAACAAGTAGGCATAAATCGTAGGGCCGCCAAATGGCAAAAGTCTCCCA